TGTGTGTGTGTGTGTGTGTGTTTGTATCACTGTGAGTGCACGCTCATGTGTACTTTTTAAAACGCCGATGTTCCACTTTAGCGAAAAGAAAGCACAGGTGTTCAGTTGTATGTGTTACAATACTATCTTTCACCTTCCTTACCTTTCCTCGAAACAACAAGGCCACGATAGAAATAACAAGTGATTGCATCTTGTTCTCCCGAATGTTGATTCTCTTCTCGAACGTCCATATAAAAATAATAATGTAAAGCACAAAAAAAAGAACGAAAGAAACAAAACTCCACTCACCCAAAAGCGACCAGCCGGCGGCTCGACCTTTAGTACATGTAGCTTCTCAGCCTGACTACCACAACAAGCAAGACTTGCTCACCTTTTCATTTCACCGGCTGCCTTCAATCTTTCCGCTCACCGTTCTTTCTCCACACAGCATACTACTCTACTCGCGTGCATCGTGCAGAGCCCCCAATGTGCTACGTTACCACAGCCAACACTATCTCTACACTCTCTACAACACACGGATTATCTTCAGCCTGGGTGGCACATCTTTGCTAACTGCCGCGTGCAGTGTAATATAAGCTTCTCCGTGTTTATGCAGCGGACTAGCGAAATGCATGTTATTCTTTAGATAACATTAAAATAAGTATTATGTCATAGTGTCGAGCTGATTCACACATTCTGTGTAATCGTAGTAGTAAAGAAAATAAGGGGTTCTACCTTTAAAAGAAAAAGAAAAAGAAAGCGCAATAGACGAAAAGAATTACACAAGTAAACGTAATGCCTGCATTGAAGTTGCCTGTTCCTACTAGACAGAAGAAGTTGTTATTAAAGGCAGATATAGTAAAAGCAAGTTCAAGTACGTGCGTGAGTGTGTCTGTGTGGAATATGTGTGTATGTGTGTGTATGTGTGTGCGTGTATAGGCCTAATAGCCTATAGGTCTACCGCTGTTTATAAAGAAGAGAGAGATGGGTGATTGGAGAGAGAAAGAGAGAGAGAGAGAGAGAGAGAGAGAGAGAGAGAGAGTGAGAGAGAAAGGGGAGGGAGGGAAGAGAGATAGGGACAGACAGACAGACAGACATAGACGGTGATACAGTGTGACAGATGTAGAGAGAAAGAGAAAGATAATGAGTGAGAGAGAACGAGAGGGGGGGGAGAGAAGGGGGAGGGAAGAGAGAGAGAGAGAGAGAGAGAGAGAGAGAGAGAGAGAGAGAGAGAGAGAGGGAGGGAGAGAAACAGACAGACAGACAGACAGAGAAAGAGAGACAGATGCAGAGAGAAAGAGAAAGATAATGAGTGAGAGAGAGAGCGAGAGAAAGGAGGGAAGAAGGGGGGGAGGGAGGGAAGAGAGATAGGGACAGACAGACAGACAGACAGACAGACAGACAGACAGACATAGACAGTGAGACGAGACAGAAGCAGAGAGAAAGAGAAAGATAGTGAGTGAGAGAGAACGAGAGAGAGAGGGAGAGAGAGAGAGTGAGAAAGAGAGAGGGGGGGAGACAAACAGACATAGACAGTGAGACAGACGCAGAGAGAAAGAGAAAGAAAGTGAGAGAGAGAGAGAGCGAGAAGAGAGACCGAGAAAGAGAGAGAGCGAGAGGGAGAGAGAGAGAGAGAGAGAGAGAGAGAGAGAGAGAGAGAGAGAGAGAGAGAGAGAGAGAGAGGGGGGGGGAGGCATGAATTAAGATAGAAAGACAAACAGGCTGTATTCCATGTAGGCCTACCGGTTTCTTGTACGCTAAGGTTGTAACCATTGTGTCGCACTGAGATGGGCTTCTGAAGAGTGAGGTCTATATCATTATTATTATTATTACTACCATTGTCGTTATTGTTATTATATAATTATTCTTGTTATTATTATTACTATTATCACTATTATTATTATTAT